GTGTGTGGGGCTTCGGTCATCCATGGTCTTAGGCAGTCTCTGCTTCGGGGTTACATGTCCCCGGTAAGTGAGAAGCTACATGCTGGAGCTGAAAAGATATAGCTCAAGAGCATCCAAACACACCCAAAGGGTCCAAGGTATGGTATAGTATATAACCCTAAACCCTAAACCCTAAACCCTATACTTTTGGGGCCCAAATAACTACAAAGTATCTACAAGATTTCTCCTTGGACCCTTTGGGACACACGCTTGACCGGACAAGAAGCTGGGGCTTTACGTGATGATCCTTAAGGTTTAGGGTTTAGGGTTTAGGGCAGTGCTAGAAGGGTCATAAGTACTTGGCTATCAATATAGTTTCCAAGCCATCGCAGCTGATGCTCAGCCAATAGATATAATATAGGGGCCTTAAGAATTCGAAGAGGGTTTGCGGGCTCATTATACCATAAATATTCATAAGGAGCCCCCAAAAATAATATAGGTATCTAACTATTTAAGCCCCTATATTACCCACCGCACTCATGTGTCCTTTGTCCTGAATGACAATGACCATGATCATACAAGCAAGGTTTGCAGATCATCTACAGTAGAAGCCCCAAAGTTGGAAACCCAACAGCCTCCATCCTTAAGTGTAATGTAGAGGGAATCCCAGCACTAATTGCTCTTAATCCGGCTTCCAACTTTGCGGGGTGTACTGTACGTCCTGATGCTGAATTTTCTAAACCCTAAACCCTAAACCTTCATAAAGTAAAAAATCTAAAACAGCCAAAATCCAAAAGCAAAGCAAACATAGTATGTTATAAATAACAAAAACACCGGCAGTGCGCATCACAGATAGTTGTGTGCTGCTGTAACCTGTGGCAAAGGCCTCTCTCTGGATTCTATTCGAGTCCAGCTTTTCAGGTGTTCTTTAAACGGATTCTTAGGGTTTAGGGTTTAGGGTTTAGGGTTCCTAGGTATTAGGATTACCCAGAGAACCCAATAGCCCTTAATTAAGGAATATACCTTAAGCCATAATATTAAGGCCCCTATAAGTTCAGGTATATTCCTCATTTAAGGGGTATTGGGTTCTCTGGGTAGAAACTCAAGATTTCTGGATTTGGGGTTTCTCAGGTTTCTCAACCTTAGAAACCAGAAGCCGGAGAGAAACCATCCTTCCTGTGCTCGACCCTACGCAATACTGGGGCGTTTATACTCAATCAGTGTGGGCTTTCGAAGTACATTAGATTTGAAGCGCGTTTTTCGGAACTTTAAGAAATGCGCAAGTAGATCTTTAGGCTTCTATGGTAGACCCTAAGACGTACACACCAAAACACCAGCCTGAACCCCAAACCCAAGCTCGTGCCTACTGTAGAAGCCTTAATAATTAGAATAGAGTTTTGGAGCTCAGTATACTATAACTTTTATAAGGAACGCCCAGAAATGGTATAGGTAATTATTAAGAGTCCTACATTACACTCTGCGTCCTTTTTTCCGAACTGCCACAGCCTCTGAGGTCATAAGCGTGCCTAAGAGAAGTTGGACGCGCGGGGCCTTAGACGACGAAGGCTTGGAGTTCAAATTTGAGTACCGTTTACTATACACCCTGACACCGAGTTTAGGGTTTAGGGTTTAGGGTATGCACAAGTAGGTTGAGGCAGGGTTAAGGGTGTAAACGAGGCTCTGAAGAGTAAAGCAGGGGAGCACTTCTCCCCGGTTCAAGTTTAGGGCTTAGGAAGTTTAGGGCTTATGTAGGGCTTAGGGTTTAGGCTTAGGACTTAGGGTTTAGGGTTTAGGGTTTAGGGTTTAGGGTTTAGGGTTTAGGGTTTAGGGTTTAGGGTTTAGGGTTCAGGTTCTGTGGTTTGAGAGATTTGGGGTGTTAGGACTTGGCAGGCTTTCGGGGTGTTTTGTGTGGAGCTTTGGGATTCAGATTGAGTATTTGCGCTTTGGGGTTTAGGGTTTAGGGTTGAGGGTGTAGGGTTTAAGGTTTCGGGTCTAGCCTAGGGTTTAGGGTTTAGGGTTTAGGGTATAGGGTGTAGGGTTTAGGGTTGGGTTGGGCTGTGGGGCTGTCAGCTTCAGATGGAGCTTGTCCTTCCAGGTGTTCGACCCCAAAGGGCCCAAGTAGTAATATGGTAGGGTTTAGGGTTTAGGGTTTGGGTTTTGGGTTTAGGTTTAGGGTTTATGGTAGCTACTTTGTAGGTATTCGGGCCCCCAAAGTATATACTATGCTATAACTTGGACCCTTTGGGGAAAGGAGCCACGATTAGAACTGTCCATCAGCCACCGCTTCAAAGCACATGCAAACAGACCCCTCATCTAGGCTAAACCCTAAAAACTAAACCCTAAACCCTAACCCCTAAACCCCTAAACCCAAAACTCTAAAAAGCTAAACCCTAAACCCTAAACCCTAAACCCTAAACCCTGAACCCTGAACCCTAAACCCTAAACCCTAAACCCTTTAGAGGCTCCACGACTAAGTCTCTGGCAGGCGCCGGCGCGGCGCCTCATCGCCGCTGTCGCCGCCCTGACTTCGGTTTAGGGTTTGGGACTGAAGTTTAGGGTTCAGGGTTTAGGGTTTAGGGTTTGGGGTTTGGGGTTTAGGGTTTGGGCTTAGGTTTTAGGGTTGAGGGTTTAGGGCTTAGGTTTTAGGGTTTAGGTTTTAGGGTTCAGGTTTTTCTTTAAATGGGACACGCCTTTGACTGCGCTGCCATGTAGGCTGCCACTAAAAGTGAAACTTCAGTTTGCCTGCAATCCCGACTGTACCGGACCACCCTCTTGGCCTGTAGCCATCGACTCAACATCCCCTGCATATTGCACAGATTCACAAGGAGCAACATCCAAGCTACACTCAGAACTAGCCATACAGGAGTCACTCACCATCTCAACAGTAGACACCGGCAGCGACAGAGAACCATCACCCGCTGCGCCCAAGTTTGACACATCCGCAACTTCACAACCTCCTGCACCATCACATACAGGTAGTGGACGACCAGGGGGAGTTTCATGAGCAGCACCGTACGTAGAAGGCACGACAGGGATGACATCGGGATCACGAAGCACGGAGTGAGCAGCACAACCAGGAGCCTGAGGACAGACATCCCGCAGACCACAAACGTCTCCACCTTCCGAGGTTGACATCCCATCCACAACTGCATCATCTTCACCTTCACCACGACAAACTGCCGAAGGATCACCGCCAGGTGGCACAACTGTCATCACATCACCAGGAAGTACGGGAGGACCAGAAGATACACAAGGTGGTACATGTGCTGCGTCTGCATGACATGGAACATCCCTGGATCCACTCGGGCATGTATCCGCAGAGCTACCAGCACCTTGGAGCTCAACAGGAAGGAGTTCAGGGTAGAGCACCACATCATCCATGAGGTCAACCACCCGTCTCCAATTCGCCATATGCAACGCTCTCAGAAATCGACCACAGTCTGCAGCAAAAATCCTTCGTACTTCAGCAGCAGGTAGAGGAGCAGGATTGCCATCCACAACGATAGCCCGCAAGTCAAGGACTGACCTCAGGGCTTCCAGCATCTCTTGGTGAACATGCACCAAGGACCGCACCACCCCAAGCATCCAGACCCGATCCGAATGTGTACCACCCAGTTCACCTGCATGCATGCGATCAAGTAGCGCCCCTAGTTCACCAGCACAATCATGCGTCCACCCCGACTGCACAAGTCGTTCCCGCTCTGGGTCCGACAGCACATCCACTGTACCTTCAACGCCCCGTGGACCATCTGGGTTTTGTCCTGCTTCCACTTCCACTACACCTTCACCATTCCCTGGTCCATGACCCTCTGCACCATTGTCCGACGCAGGTACAGCAGCTGCAGAGTTTACAGCCGCATCAATCTCCACACGAACATCCCGTGCAGGTTCAGCACGACGAGCGCTGCGAGACCGTGCACGACGCGGGAGAGGGTCTGTGGATGATCGAGCTCGTTCAGGATCCTCAGGTGCTTCGCGGTCCCTAACCGAATCCCGTTCAGCACCATATCCACCCTCATCTTCTTCCTCACTGGCGAAGTATTCCTGGTCAAGCGTAAAGCGTCTGAGCTCCTCCGGGAGTTTGTCGGGATCCACCCAAGCATCAGCAAGGGCACCATGTAGGTTGTCAAGGTAGGTGCGTGCGAGGGCAACCACGAGCGGACGCGCAACCTGACATACACCCCCACGACCATCAGCATCAGGAAGAATGCAGTCACCTCCTTGAAGACGTCGAATTAGCATACTGTTGATCGCATCCTGAACTTCAATACATTTCTGCATGGCAAGGTCAACAACCCGCATGGCCCATTCGATGTCGCCTCTAGCAATATCCCCAGTCTCACGGTCACTGGCACTTGCAAGTTCACCGAGGAAGCGCCCCAAGGCTGTGATAGTATCACGTCGAACACCCATGCTGGCAAGGGACTGAGCTTCATCCGGTTGTAGACGTTGTACAAGGCTCGCACCATCCTCAAGGACCGGCTGTGATACCAAAGGCAACGTCCCTGAAGTCTCACGAGAACCCGAGCTCATCGGTGCCATAGGAGAAGACACGGCAGGTGCAACATCCACTGTACCACAGTTACCACAGTTACTGGTTGCCATCACATCGTTTGAACCAGCAGCGGCAGCCTCAGAGTTCACATCCACAGTAGCTTCCACAACCATGGCATGCTCGGCGACCACACCCTCTGTACTGCCACTGGCCCTTGTATCACCCCTGCCAGTGATACGCGGAGCTCGCCGTATTGACTGAGAGGACGAACTGGAAGAGCCGACGTCTCGAGGCGGCGAGCGCGTCCGAGAGCGAGAGGGAGCATGGCGACCGGTAGGTGCTCCAACATGCGTGACCACCCTGTCAATATGTTGCACCATCGCATTGTCAACTAGACCTTCCATGAGCGGCATTGTCTGCTCCATTGAAGTGAGCGGACACGCTGAGCAGCTTCACGAGGCTCGCGGACGACAGGATAGTATGGCACACCCCTGGTGCTTACACGGCGACGGAGACAGTCCATGACTCTGTCCATGTGAATACATCCCGTTTCCCATGCTTCCAACCACTCAAGAAGACCCCACCGATATTCAGGTCCTTCATCATTCATGGTGTGCGTGTTGAGGGTACGCAACATGTCTCGGATATCACGGCACACATCGTCGGGAACGTGTAGGTCTGCCAAAAGTTCCTCCTCATCCACAGACAGTTGGACAAGCATCACGTCCTCGATGTCCCCCTGTGTAGACATCCCAGTGGTCTGTAGGAATCCAACGTCTTCTTCTTCTTCCGGCACAAAGAACATGTCATCCTCACTGGGCAGTCCGGAGCGACTCCAATCAACCACCAATTCCACTGCTGACGCCCATCTATCCCAGTCCTCCCATTATCTCGAGGTCCAGCTTTCAGGATGTGTTCCACCCCGAGCGGGATTAAGGAGATCACGAAAAAGAGCACGGTCAGCGGCAGCCCTCGGTCCAGTACGATCGACACCCCGATGAAAACACTGCAGGTCGGAAGCTACCATCCTGCCACTGATCAAGTCTTCCTTGACGTCGTTGGGTTCGAACAGGACCCTGGCCACCCCGGTGTAGTCGTTCTTCAGAGGCTGTGCGAGGTCTTCCAACCCACACTCCCCTTCGCCAGAAACCAGCGTTGCTCGGCCTGGTAGAAGACGAAGAAGAAGGGGCAGATGTACCACTATGTGTACCTTGGTCCCGACGTTCATCCCGAGAGGTAGAGGCACCTTGCTGTCGACTTGTAAAGGGAGCGTTTCGTTCATGTCCACGCCCACCTGGTTGACCACGACTGGTGGAACGTCCACGCATGGCCCATTCGTCCCCGCTCTCATCCCACCGCACACGTCGCGGACGAGACGAAGTTTCGCCAGTGTGCCCAGATTCACGATTCCAAGGATACTGGTACCAGTTGGCGGGCTGCTGAGTAGGGTTCCATTGCCACCCAGACTGTCCATACCACGACTGCTGCGCCCAGTCGGGCGTATCATGAGAACTCCAGGACTGCGCAGTGCCATCCCAACTGGGATCATCATGCCAGTCTTGCTGCCATGCTTGCGACTGCCATTGTTCACCCCACTGAGGTATCATCCCTGGTTGTGTAGGTTGACTCCACCCTTCTGTGTTCCAAGCATTGGCTACCTCCTCCGGATACGGTTCAGGATGCGGCTGAGTATCATCCCCCTCCATATCGACTGTAGAGCTTGTAGTAGTGGTAGAGCTGCACGTTCGCGAACTGCACGTTTGTCTTGAGCCACACGTAGAGGTAGTAGGAGAAAAAACCGAACCGGTTGAAGTGCAACTTGACATCCTCGTTGTAGAGCACGTCGAAGTCCCCAACGAACTTGTAGAAGACGTACAGCTCATTTGCTCGGCTTCTTCATCCACAGAGACACCCAAGGAAGCCATAGGCGAAGGACACGGCGTAGTATCTACATCCGGCTTCACCGAGTCAACCACTGCACTCTTCAGCGCTGCCGTTGTAGTAGCGCTCGAGGTACAAGGGGAGGTACTCGACGAAGACGTCCCGGAAGTGAGCTCCAACTCCAACACCCCCACGGAAGCATCGAGGGGCGCAGCAAAACTGTGTATCAGGCCAAAGGCGAACCCAAGGAGGGCAGCAGAAAAGAGGCACCGTCCACGTCGCGCCATTTCACGCGAGAAGCTTTCGGGACGAACTGAAAGAAAAGAACTGCTAAACAGATCAAATGCAGGTATCATACGACATCAGGCATCGTTGTCATAAAACTCAAAGTCAGTTGACATCCTCAGAACATGCATGTCATGAAGTACTTGTCGTTCAAGCCGTGCTGGAGCCAAACTGCACACACCCTCAGCAAGGAGCTTCACGTACAGCAGCAGATCTCAGGCATGACAACCTAGGCAGCACATCCCTCTAGTAGCAGAGTGTTCAGGTTTTAGGGTTTAGGGGAATCCAAAATCTCCTTGAAGTGTTTAACCTTGAAGTGTTTAACCATTCAACCATAGACAATGTACACACATACGCACATACATGCATATATACATATGTACATACCTATATTTGTTATAGATATACACTCACACACACACATATTGTTTACATCTAAACATGCATAGTAAACATGTATCTAGCTATGTATCTAGCTAGCTATCTATCTGAAAAGCACCATAATCAAAACAGCACTCTATAATCCGAGGGATATGTCGGTCCTTGCGGGGTTTGGGAGTCTTTGGGCAGCCGAACCGCAGCGCTTACAGCCCTCGTCAGTGTTCTCTAACAGGTTTAGGTTACAAGGGTTTCGTCAGGGTTCTATCTGGTTATTTCTAGGGTGTTGGGATTCGGGGCTGGGGGTAAGGGCTTTGGGTTTCAGGGTTTCGTGCTTTACAGATTTGGGCTCGACGTGTGGGGCTTTAGGATGTGGAGCTGTAGAGACAGGGCTTTCCTCACACAGTGGAACTGGAGGGTTTAAAGCTTGACGCCGTACAAGGCCTCAATCGTTACAACCTTTACAAAAGGGTTTTGGGGTATTCTAACAGAGGACTAACTTGCTAAATTACCCGAAACCCTAAACCCTAACTTGCTAAATCTTGAACCCCTATATTCAAAAGCTATATTGCCAATTATGACGAGTCAGGCTTCTAGTGTGCACCCTTAAACGCTGAACCCTTACAGAACCCTTATAGAACCTTCGGTTTAGGGTTTAGGGTTTAGGGGCCTTGCAGAGCCCTTCTAAAGCCTTTCTAGAAACCCCCTATAGCACCCTTTCAAAGCAAACCCTGAACCCTTATAGAACCCTTTATAGAGCCCTTGTAAAGCCCGGTTTAGGGTTTAGCGTTGAGGGGTTTAGGGCTTGTAGAACCCCTAGAGCACCCTTTAAAGGCTTGAAGCTTTGGGCAGATCTTCCGTGTCAGGCATTGCACGGGACAGCATTTAAGGTTTAGGGATCAGGGTTTGGGGTTCAGGGTTTAGGGTTTATAGGGTTTAGTGTTTAGGGTTTATAGGGTTTAGGGTTTAGGATTTGGGGTTTAGGGTTCAGGGTGGCCTAATGCAGGGGCCTCCACGGTGTAGGCTTTCGGGTTGTGTTTGAATAAAACAGTTCAGTTGCTTTAATACGGCTGCGTAACGGCTTGTAAAGTCGTGTAGGGGCCTTAATTACAGATTTCAAAGCAGACTAGGTCTTGTTTTTGCGCCGGTTTGTAGGCTCACATGACGATTTTATAAGGCTATATAATCGGACTTAACATGCGATTCTCTGCAATTTGCAAACCCTAAACCAAATTGTTCAGGCGCTTATGGTCTTGCGATACTGCCGGGGATTCTGCTCACACGCTCTTGGGTCCAGGGCTGACGAGTGATCTGTTGAGTGTAAGTCTGTGATATTTGTGGAAAACTTGGGTTAGGGTTTAGGGCTTATAGCATATACGGTTTGGGTGGGTACGAAACAGCATCGGAAGCACGTGCGCAACTGATATGGAAAAAGGCAAAACTTTAGAGGTTACCAGGTTCTAGCATTGAAACATCAGGAATGTGAGAATGTTAAATTAATTACGTAATTACGGAAATTCCTTATTATAAAATTTCTACATTGCTTCGAAAGCTCACCCTGCACAAAGAAATGCGCCTTCCGACTACCGCTTCGTTGCCGCCGACCTTGTCGCAAGTAACGAGCGGCTTTGGCAACAGGGCCAATTGAAGGGGGTTTCCATACAAGCCTAAACCCTAAACCCTAAACCCTAAACCCTAGGCCCTACAACGTAGAAACCAGACGAATTGGGATTGGTGTTGTGTGGGGCTCTGTACTCTAGGGAGCCCAAGGAAAATGATTGCTGAATATTCCGACGGCCTATCTAAGCCATTCCTCTGCTCTTTCTGCATGTTATTCAAAAAACTGGCTTAAATGAGATCGCTGACAAAGAAAACGAACCCTAAACCCTAAAACCCTAAACCCTAAACCCTGAACCCTAAAACCCCAAACCCTAAATCCTAAGACCCTAAACCCTAACCCCCAAAACCCCCTTAGGGTTTAGGGTTCGTTTAGGGTTTAGGGTTCGTTTTCTCTCCGATCACCTCGAACGGCGAACAGCTATCCGAAGGGATTCCCCTGTTCACCGGTGCTTAGAGTTGCTAGGGACCATATGGATCAGGGTTTTAGGGCCCAGGTTTTACCTACCCCCCCCACCCCCCAAGACCTATAAACGGCCATTATTCTGCATACCGGTGGGGTCCAAGGTAAGGTTTACGGCTCATGGGGTGTATACTGACTCTCTGCACACGGGCAAATACGAGGACATCACTGCTCCGATGTTCTTCCCTGCTGCCATTCTCTGAACCCTGAACCCATCTAAGGTTGAACCCATGGGCCCCTAACATGGGCCCTTAGGGGATTCTAGGGTCCCAGAAGGGTATATATAGGGTATATAGTAGGTATATTAGGGTCCCAGGGTTAAGGGCCCATACTAGGGGCCCATGGGTTCTACCTTAGACCCACGATAAGAACCCTTACTGGCTTAGGGTTTTTGGGGGTTTGGGTTAAGAGCTTCATGGATTTGTAAGGGTAGGATCCTACTATCTGAGCTAGTTTACTTGTCCACTATCCCAGGGAAACTCAAGAGTAACCTTTGGGAGTATATTTTAGGGTTAGACACCGAAAAAGTTAGAGGTGGCCTACTCTGGTGCTGAGCTAAGCTACGGCTTTACCTACGTGGAAACCGTATGCAAGTCTTTGAACCCCTAAACCCTAAACCCTCCGCCCTGAACCCTAAGGCCTAAACCCTATAAACCTTAAACTCTAAAGCCTAAACCCTATAAAGCCTAAACCCTAAGCCCTAAAACTTAAGCCCTTGAGCCTAAACCCGAAGCCCTAAACCTTAAACCCTTAGAAGCCTAAACCCGAGCCCTAAAGCCTAAATATTTGGGGTTAAGGTAAACCCTGAACCCCGTGCTCCACTTCGAAGCCTGTGATGCAGGGGGTTCAGGGTTTAGGGTTCAGTGATCCTGAAGATATAGAGTTTAGGGTTTAGAGTTTAGGGCTCAGGGTTTAGGATTTACAGTTTAGGGAGTAGTGATCCAGAAGATAGGGTTCAGGGTTTAGGGCTTAGGGCTTATAGAGCTTTGCGTTAAGGGTTTAGTGATCCAGAAGATTTGCCACCATGGCAGGGGTTTGGGAAGCCTTCAACGCTGGAGATCCAAGGTTTGGGGCTTTTGGGTTTAGGGTTTACGGCTTTGGGGTTTGGGTTTAGGGCTTAGGGTTTAGGGGGTAGGGTTTAGGGGTTTAGGGTTTAGGGTTTAGGCTTTGGGTTTGGGGTTTCTCTATGGAGTTCAAGGATTATAGCAGGCTTGTGGCAGCACGCCCCGTAGTTGCTTTCTAAACCCCTAAACCCTGAACCCTGAACTCTAAAAACCTACCCCCCGAACCCTAAACCCTAAACCATGCCCCAGGGCTCTGCCTCACTTCTCGGGGTTCTTGAGGCTACATGTCGGGTCGTGCAGCTCGCCGATGTTGAGGCCTTGACAAGCCCTCGGGCCTGAATTTCGTCCGTCTTGGCTGCCGAAGCCACGCGAAACGCTTCAAACCGTTCAGACATGACTGAGCTTAATGCAAAGCCAGTAGAAAAGAAGTCTCGGAAGAATCGCGACACAGCTATCGGAGAATCGCCTTGATCTACAACTCCCCACTCCAAGATCAAGAACGAAAACACCTCATAGGCGTCAGCCCATGGATATTGGTGGGGCCCAGCCGACTCCGGGCCAGCTCCGAGGACTGTGGCTAAATCCCGCGCGCCACGGGTTTAGGGTTTCGGGTTTTGGGTTTGGGGTTTAGGGTGAACCCTTCAAAGCCCCTGCAGAACCCATGTGGAACCCCGATTGGGTCTGGCGCACCCTTACACCCTGAACCCCTAAACCCTAAAAAATCCTAAAACCCCTAAACCCTGAAAACCCAAAACCCCTAAACCCGAAACCCCTAAAACCGTAGAACATCCCGTACACCTTAAACCCTAAAACCCTTTAAGCCTAAACCGTTACATAATCCCGACA